AGTGCCAACAGTAAAGTTTGGTGGAGGAGGCATAATGGGCTGGGGCTGTTTTTCAGGGTTTGGGCACCTTAGTTCCAGTGAAGGGTCATGTTAATGGTACAGCACACAAAGACGTTTTAAACAATTTCATTCTTCCAGCTTTGTGGCAGCAGTTTGGGGAAGAGCCTTTACTGTTCCAGCTGAGGTTCTTAAAGAGGTTTGACAAGTTATTGTGGAGGAGCTCCACACTGTAAAAAAATGGCTGTAAAAATGATTGATTGAAAGAATCGTTCATTCAAACTATTTATTTGGTTTGAATAAAACTTAAAACTAAAATAAAAATTTACCACATTGTCATTTTTAGGCTGATCTGCTGAGCCATTGTTTAAAGTATTTATTTGGTTTGCACGTTAATTTACTTGTCAACACATTGTGGTTATTATTTTAATTTTTAATTTTTTAAAGTGTTTTAGGTCGATGTGACAGTGCAGTGGCCTGCACAGAGCCCTGACCCCAACCCCACTGAACACCTTTGGGATGAATTGGGACTTCGGTTGTGAGCCAGGCCTTCTTGGTAAACATCACAAATGCTCTTTTGATTGAATGGGCACAAATTCCCATGAACACACTCCAAAATCTCGTGGAGAGCCTTTCTAGAAAAGTGGAGGCTGTTATACCCGCAAAGGAGTGACTCCACATTAATGCCCATGGTTTTTGGAATGGGATGTCCATTTTTTAGGTTGATCTGACGAGACGTTTTTTACAGTGTAGCGTATACACCGATCAGGCATAACATAATGACCACCTGCTTGTTTCTACACTCATTGTCCATTTTATCAGCTCCACTTACTATATAGGTGCACTTTGTAGTTCTACAGTTACAGACTGTAGTCCATCTGTTTCTCTGTTTACTTTGTTAGCCCCCTTTTACCTTGTTCTTCAGTGGTCAGGACCCCCATGGACCCTCACAGAGCAGGTGCTATTTGGGTGGTGGATCATTCTCAGCACTGCAGTAACACTGGCGTGGTGGTGGTGTGTTGTGCTGGTCTGAGTGGATCAGACACAGCAGTGCTGCTGGAGTTTTTAAACACTGTGTCCACTCACTGTCCACTCTATTAGACACTCCTACCTTGTCAGTCCACCTTGTAGATGTAAAGTCAGAGACGATAGCTCATCTGCTGCTGCACAGTTTGTGTTGGTCATCCTCTAGTCCTTCATCAGTGGTCACAGGACGCTGCCCACAGGACGCTGTTGGATGGACTATTCTCAGTCCAGCAGTGACACTGAGGTGTTTAAAAACTCCAGCAGCCCTGCTGTGTCTGATTCACTCAGACCAGCGCAACACACACTAACACACCACCACCACGTCAGTGTTACTGCAGTGCTGAGAATGATCCACCACCCAAATAGTACCTGCTCTGTGAGGGTCCATGGGGGTCCTGACCACTGAAGAACAGGGTAAAAGGGGGCTAACAAAGTATCAGAGAAACAGATGGACTACAGTCTGTAACTGTAGAACTACAAAGTGCACCTATATAGTAAGTGGAGCTGATAAAATGGACAATGAGCGTAGAAACAAGGAGGTGGTCATAATGTTATGCCTGTGTGTGTAAGTATGATGCTTTTCGTGACATCACAAAAACGGAATTTAAAACAAGGCTGTTTTTGCAGCTTAGTTTCCATACATGTGCTGTACGAACTGGGCAGCAAATGGACTGTTTTGAAAATGTAACCGTGTTTACATACAACATCAAAACTGAAAGGAATGTCAAATTTTGTTTTCTGTAATAAAGACCATTTAAATGTCCATTAGGTACTATTTCTACTTTCTACCACTTTTAATGTCATCACTGCATTTGGAAAAGCGAGTTCCGGGACGCTGTCCTTGTCTTTGTTTACATGGATACGTTGCTTAACGCCTCTTTGCTCCACTCCCATCTTAGACCTGACAAACCAGATCATTCTGCTGGGCTAAACAGCTGTGATCCATATAAAATATATGTCAGAAAGTTTGCGGACACCTGCTCATTTAACGTTTATTCTACAGTGAAGACTAGTAATACAGTATTTGTGAGAAGGCTTTATGCCAGATTTGATTGCATTCAGCCACAAGAACATTAGTGAGGTCAGGTACTGATGTTGGAGGGTCAGTTCTAGATCACAAACTCATTCCAAAGGTACTGGATGGAGCTCCACTGCTCCACAGCCCATTGCTCGGGGGTCTTTATACCCCTCTAGTCCAAACTCGGTATTGGGCACGGTGACCTTAGGCTCATGTGTGGCCGCACTATAGCATCCCATTCTATTGGTATTGCTAGCTTCCAGATATAGCGATGCTTTTGGATGAACCACCTTTATAGACTATATGTAACGTTAAATAGCTGCAGCTAATGACTAGCTAGCTTGCTAAGTCTGGTAGATCCAGTTGGCTAAAATAAGCTGTAACCCTCCGAGGATGTATGAGGTCTCATTATAAAGAAGAGCACAACATCTCACTCTCTGAGGCACTCGGCTCCATTCTCACAGCAACAAATCAGCATGACCCCATTTTCAGTTGTTTATATGGTTATAACTGTGTCATCATAACTTGCCGAGTGGAACGATTGGACACTTGGCCGAGGGAGAGAGAGCGCTATCGTAGCGCTTTGTTGATGCTCATCTCGTAATTATTTTTCCGATATGGGTCCGCAAGAATGTGCCATCGCAGTATTTAATGATGTTTCCACAATACATGTTGTGCATGTTTGTGTCATCGTCACGTTAAAGCTGTGGTGTTTAGTGTTTGTTGCTCTGTACACATTACGTCTTATTAGGAATTATGACTTATGAACAACTGAAAAATGTGTTACTACTAATTAGAGTTATGTGGTGTAGAGGAGAGTCTTATAAAATGACGGACAGGAGGTCAGTGTAAAGGTCAGTGCAGTTTTCCAAACGAGGTTATTTGTACTAGTAATAAAAGACATAAATCGACTGTTACACCTTTAAACACTGTGGAACTTATTGATAAAACCTGGCAATACCAGACTAGAACAACCTGGTTAATGAACAGTTTCTACCCACAGGCTGTCAGGCTTCTGAACAAGCTGTGATGCTGTGGGTCCTTCGCCAATTACCATTTCACTCAGTCACTTTGTCAGTATTATTATTATATCATATTACTGCTATGGACAATAACACTAAGCCACTTTAAATAACAATAACACTGAGTCACTTAAGTCACTTTAAAATGTATATATTCTTCACAGATTATCCCTTGTTTGATATAAATATATTTGTACATAGCAGAGAGGTTTTTTCTTACATAGGTCCCTCCTGTCTCTGTATTTTGTGTATATTTAATATATTTCAGTTTGAGTATTTTCTTGTATTTTTATTTTTACTTTGTTTACTTTCTGTAGAGTGATTAGCTGAGCCTCACCACAAGCATTTCAATGCATGAATGTCCTGACATGCTGTGCAAATGACAAATAAACTAGACAAAACAAAACTTGCAGCGTGGTAAATAAGAGCTGTTCATAAAGAGACCATGACGGTAATTAGCATACCGGTGTGTTTTTAACACTGTGGGATTATCACCTGTGTCCTAGGCAAGAGCCAATCAAAATCCACATGTAAATGAGGTCATGCGTATTAAAGACCTGAACCAAGTAGAGCACCAGTTCCAGAATGGATACAATTAAAGAAACAAAAACAAAGAAAACTAAAATATTCTCAGAAAGAGAGCCACAAATTTTACAAAGTGTTGACAAATAATAGTAATTTGTAATTTGGTAAGGATGCTGCAAAAAATTAAAGAACAAAAAAGATATATAGGAGAGAATTGCAACACACGACGCTCAAACTGTTGTCAACTGTTGTCAGCTGTGGGCAGGATGAAAAAAAAAATAGGTGTGAAAAGCATTCGGATATTAGTGGGAGTCCCAGTACACAGGCGCAGCAAGCCATTTAACTTAAACCAAGAAACAGTTCCTTTATCAGACGCTGTTACTGATACTAGAAAACATGACATCCAAAAATCTAACTGCAGCATCGTAAAATGAAGTTTTTGATTGCAGGAATGATGTTTTGGAGTGTAAGAATTCAAGCCTTTTTCCTGTTTATTATAATAGCTTTTTTAATAAAATTAAAAACTAAGGAGAGATGCTGAAATTACTACTAGCTTTAGCTTTTATTTCCTATTTTTTGCTCACAGGAGTTCAGTTGACACATGTGAAAATTAAAATTCCACTAGTAGGTATTAAATTTTAACTAGTTTTAACTGGTTCTAGCTTTGTTTTTTAAGATTCCACCAAAAAAGTATCCATTTTGGCTTTTTACTGGGGATAATTATCATCAGAGTGGTACAGGCATTATTCTGGTCAAAATTATGTTGTTATGAATCACTACCATCACATATAAATAAGATAAAAGCGTGGTCAGTCCTCACATCATGCAAGCAGCAAAACGCGCCGGTAATCCCTGTTTATGAATGAGCAAACGTGCTACTGCAACGTGTTACTGGTGTGTTATTTGCTCGTACACTCTCAGAAATAAAGGTGCTAAACTGTCACTGGGGCAGTTCCCCTCTTGTCACTGGGGTGGGACCCTCAAGGGTCCATCTCAGTACCTTCAGTCAGGGAACATAACTGAACCATAATCCACTGAAATGATATTCTCTGAGCTGTACTGACTCCACACACCCCGTCTCGTCTCCAGGCTTTTATTTTACTGTTCTGTTTTAAAACATTCGGTTATGAAAAGGTACAAATACGAACTTTTCACCTGGAAAAACTTATTTAAGGTTCACAATCAGACCTTAAAACCACTGTTGTACCTTTGAGGGAACATTTACACTGTTTGTACCTTGGTGAATGAAAAATGTACCTGAACAGAACCTTTATTTCTAACGGTGTAGAGTCACAGTAATCTGGCTATGATATATATTTGAATCTCTGTCTCTCTCTCCCTCTCTCTCTCTCTCTCTCTCTCTCTCTCTCTCTCTCTCTCTCTCTCTCTCTCTCTCTCTCTCTCTCTCACAGGTGGGATGGTGTGTCTGTGGTCAGAGTGAGGATGGGCTGCACCTCGGCGAAGCAGGTGTCGGCCGTGCCGAGTGATGAAGAGGGCCGAGGCAAAGCTTACAGTAACGGAGACCTGTTCACAGGTTACACGCATGCACTCATACGCGCTGAGTCTTATTTCACTCTTGTTTGTGTCTGAGTGTGGGAACCGTCTCTCTGAATAATTCCCCAGCCTCCCACACGCAAAACATGCATCTAAAATAAACCTCCACATCACTCTGTCTTAATGTCAGCTAATGGTGGGCGTGTTTGTGCCTTTTTGCCAGTTGATGGATGGAATTTCTAATTAAATGTTATTATCTTGCTTTTACGCCGCAAATCGTGCTATATTGGAATGGAAATCATATTAAATTGGTTAATAAATCTAATATTTCTCATTTTGAGGTTGTTGTCAGAGTATTCTAAGAGTAATTAACTGAGAGACTCAATATTTTTATCAACAGCGAATCATTATTATCCTTGAAAACTTATCTGTTGTTTGTTGTTTACAACACAATCACCGAATCATATGACTCAAAACTAATAAAAAGATCCAAACATGTTATAATGACCAATAAAATCAAAGTAATATTTAAGTAAAAAAAGATGTTTAGCATAGATTTAAGCTGATCTCCCTTTGCCAAGATATCCTTTTTCGCAGTGTGGTCAGATGTGATCACCAGTACAGGAAGCGTGTGTAGGTGTGCTGGCACACGGCTAATGCTGTGCACTTCGTTTCGGTTCAATAAACGCTGAAAAAAGTTGTTTTGGGGGAAAGCGTGGTTTCTTTGTTGTGCCGCTGACTTGTCAAATCTGTCATTATTCCATTCAGTGTCTTGCTAAGCCTGTCAGAAGGGAGTTTTTCATCTCCCGCGACTGTAGAAATCTCAAGTGTCTCTGCAGTTGGATTGTTCTTTTGTCAGAGATGAGTAAGTGCTACTGTTACATAAATAGAAGTGTGCGAGTTGTGCTGTTCCAGTCACACCAGCATGGCTGCGCTGAGAGTAGTGAGAAAACGTAGGCTTTTCACGGGTCACTGATTACAACCAGGAAGCTTTAGAAACGACAGACAGTCAAAAGTTTGGGCACATCAAGCGGAATGTGTTTTTTCACAAAAGGCATTTTGATCCTGTTTCATTTTGAAACCTGTTTCTAAGACATATATGAACTGTGATGTTGACGCCTGAGTGCTGTTGGTCCGGAGCGGAGACATGCACCGCATCCTTTTTAAATGGGAAGTTCATTGTTCCTTCAGAATTTCTGCATAATTAAAGGGTTAAGATGTAAACAAAGTCATTTAAAATGCTCAGTTCTAGAGAAACTAACAGAACCAGACTGGTTCACAGTGGTGGTGAATGGAACCAGACGTTTAATGCCTCTAAAAGCTCCCTCACGCAAAGTTATTGCATGAAATGGTTGTAAATATGCTTCTAGATGCCTGAGACATTGTTTTATCTGAGATAAGATTTTGGCCTAAAATGTATTTTTATCCATTAGAGAGATGCAGGCAGGGTGTTATCAGGGAAAATGGTGCCCAAAGCAGTTCTTTTCCTGATTTACTACAATTTTGCATTAATCAACATTACATTACAACTTAGGCCCAATCCCATTTCACCCCTCGCCCCTTGTCCTGACCACTTACTCTTACTCCTCTGTTTTGCGGGTTCATGTCTAGGGGTAGGGTGTCCCCATGTTTATTGAGATAGAGGGGTAGGGAAGTGTTAGAGCTACATGACCCTCCAAACAGAGAGTTATGAGGGAAAAAAAGAAAAACAGGCAAGATGGCTGAACAAGAGACCAAATAAACTCTGTTGAAAAATTACAATAACCATTATATTGTCTTATTTTATTTTTTTTTAAACCCTTATTAGTCCCACAACGGGGAATTTCACCTCCGCATTTAACCCATCCGTGCAGTGAAACACCACACTAGTGAATACACACACTAGGAGGCAGTGAGCACACTTGCCCGGAGCGGTGGGCAGCCCTATCCACGGCGCCTGGGGAGCAGCTGGGGGTTAGGTGCCTTGCACAGGGGCACTTCAGTCACGTACTGTCGGCTCAGGGGATCGAATTAGTGGCCTTCCAGTCACAAGGCTGGTTCCCTAACCTCCATCCCATGACTAATGATGTTTTAATCTATTATGGTCCTTTTCTTCATAACAAGCATAAAAATCGTTAATAGTATGCTGATGTCTCGGTAGCTAGCTAAATTTCCCGTTCCACCTTAAATGGTGCAGTGGTAACATTCTGGTGCCTCAGGCGTCAGAACTGCTGCTTCATTTAAGGTGGAATGGGAAAATTCAGATGAGAAGCTGGTGAATATCTGAGTTCAGCTTCATATCACTGAAGAATTGGGGTGGGTGATAATAAGTAATTGCCCCCCCTTTGAAGGCATATGATGCCCTAAATGTAACTAAAGCCCAGCAGTGAGGAGCTGAACTTTACCCTCCTCTGCTGTCACTGCAGACTGGCAGGGTCGCCTACAGAGCAGCGCTGGTAGCTGTTAATGAAGTGATGCTCTTTTTATTTGAGGGTCCCATTTCATAGAGGAAGATTTCAACCACTACCCCTTGTAACTCAGTTCGAAGTGGAAAGGGGACACTCGAAAACAAGGTACAAATAAGAGATGAGACTGGGTCTTAGAAGAGAGTAGGTTCTCTGGTTGTTTTGCAAAGTAAATAAAATGTCTATATTTGCGCTGCAGCCTTGCGACCCCTGGTTCCTCTCACCACCACTGTAAAGAAAGAAGAGAAGTTTCTCTACAGTGAGCCACCCTGAGTGGCTTTGTTTACATCTCAGCGACTGAAATATGCAGAAATGTTGGAGAATCGGTCGAAGCTTATCTGTGCAGCATGTTCAGCGGGAGTTCACAGTGTTCTGCCAGCTCTAGCCATTCCCAAACTTTTGATGGACAGTGTACAAGCTGCTCCGTTCCTCCGAGCGAGAATTTCAGGCTTCACACTTGGTGTACAAAAGCGGGCGTTGTTGGCCGTCCACGCTTTCGCACTGAAGTTGTATCGGATCCAGATGATGTCGGAGCTCCTGAAGACGGCAGAGACGCTCCTGAGATGCCGAGTGAGTTTAACGTCGGGGGCGTTTAGAGGAAGTTGTGTAAGCTGAGTTCTTCACTCTGGAGCTACTCTAACTGGTTTGTGTGCGTGAAAGAGAGGGTGTGTGTGCACAGATGATGGTTGGAAAGGTCAACAGGAAATGTGCTGTGTGTGAGAGAGAAAGAGAACGTTCAGTTTTGGAGCCAGTGGTGAGTGTGTAAGTAAGAGCAAGAGATTATGGGAAATTAGAAGTTAAAACAACACGCATCTCTCTCGCTCTCTCTCTTTTCTCTCTTTCTCTTCTTTCTCTTCTTTCTCTTAGGGGATGCACCAATCTGGGAATTGCGTGCTGATGCTGTTAGCTGATGTATTTCTTGCACACGTCTGCTGATCCCAATAAAGATGCATAAACATTTGCAAAATGTACACTGCACAAAAAATAGTATCTTGTCAAGTAAAATTATTTTAAATAATCAATAAATTAAATATGTCTAATGTTAAGATCGAACTTAATTTAAAATTATTTAATGTATTTCTAGACATTTTTACTTGTTTGAAGTAATTTAATCAAGTAAAATTATCTCACTATATTGGCAGATCGTTGTGCTTGTTGTAAGAAATGTGCTTGAAACCAGCTAAATTATCTGCCAGTATAGTGAGATAATTGTACTTAATAAAATTACCGAAAACAAGTGAAAAGTGTCTGGAAATAAGTTAAATAATCTTATAATAAGTGCACAACCATCTCAAAATGAGAAATGTTAGATATATTGACTAGATTTAAGATCATTTCACTGGACAAGAGACCATTTTTTTGCAGTGCAGAAATATTTATTTCTGTAGGTTTTCAAATGCAAATAAATGGAAACACCAGCATCGGATAAACCGGCACCACCAATGTTAAAAAGAGCCGTTTTGTCCTTTCAGCAAAAATCAAACCACCTTGGGAGCCTCAATATTTTATGTCCATTTTGCCATCCTGGCTGTAAATATGTCTCAGTATGTGCTAAACTACTAGTATAGGATAAAAATATAAACAAAAACACAGACTTACTTTGCTCTGCTTTAAGCTTTAGCTCAGCTATAGCTGCTTTTCTCACATCTCCGGCAGGAAACTTTATCAAAAGTAGAGCAGTTTCTTGTAAAATGTCTCTCAGCGTTTAACTTTTTACGAGGCTGAAGTCGCTTCTCATTCTCCAGCTTCGTGTTTGAATTTTTCTGTTCCACCTTAAGTGGTGCCTGAGGCACCAGAGTGTAACTGCTGCACCATTTAAGGTGGAACGGGACAATTCAAATGAGACATGACTTCAGTTTGTTTGACAGTTTCTCGTTGCAGATTAAACGTATCAGGAAACCAGCTGGAGTGATTATAAACACAAATAAGTCCATTCGTCTCCGAATTATCGATGTTCGTCTTAAATCTCTCTCTTTGCCGCTTCGTTAGCTACTAGCTAGGCAAGATTGTTGTCTTTGTTGCTATGGTGACCAGCAGTCTGTGCTGATCTTTGGGGTTAAAGGGTGAATTAGCAGTTCTACATTAACTCCAGAGTTTAAGACCATTTACTGTTAAACTGTGTTGAACGATCAGCAGAGCTTTATTTTACTGTAAAGGAGGATTATTTTATTTTTACCTACAAATCTGATTCTGCTGTGGAGCCACAACAGGACAGTAAAAGAGCCGCTATCAATATCAATACCGATATGATTCTGATATCATCGTACATCCCTACTCTCTTTCTCTCTCTTTCTCTTTCTTTCCCTCTCTTTCCCTCTCTCTCTCTCTCTCTCTCCTCCTTTTTGCTCTCTGCTTTTTCTCATTCTCTCTCTCTTTACTCTTTATTTCTCTGCTCTTTCTCTCACACTCTCTTTTTTGTTTCTCCCTCTTTCTCTCTTTTTTTTCTGTTTCTCTCTTGACAAGAATATTGAAGGGTACATTGTTAACAATTCTCTCTCTCTCTCTCTCTCTCTCTCTCTCTCTCTCTCTCTCTCTCTCTCTCTCTCTCTCTTTCTCTCTCTCTCTCTTTCTCTCCCTCTCTCTCTATTGGTCATTA